TGCGCTTGCTGCATGATCAGGGGTCCTGCCAGTTTGATCAACTCTTCGGCCAACCCTTGGCCTTCTTGCCGGGTGACCACGGGCGTGTGGTACCGCGTTAAACTGCCTCCGCGCATTTTGTCGGTTTACGTCGAGGTGCTGTTTGGTCCCTCCAGACCACGTGAAGGGCTTTTTATAGCTGTTTGAGACCGATGGTGACTAGGGTTTTGCCCGCGGGTAGGACGGCCAGGGGTCCACTGGTACTGGCAATCTCCACTTCCAAGATATCCATCTGTTGTCCTCGCACTTTGATCCATTTTCCCCATCGCCCGTTCTCAACAATTGCACTTCCCGCAACAGGGGAAACTTGCCACTCCCCACCACAGTGAATTCCACCAGATCCGAATAGACCATGACGGTGCGTTTACGGGTCCCCACAATCTTTTCAAAGGAAGCATTCAGGTTGTTAATCTGCCATTCGAAGCCCATGTACAATCTCATCCATGTCACATTGTCAATCGTCATGATCGTATAGGCTCAGCTGGTCTGCTTCACGCCCATGTCCTGCTCGCCTTCCCAGTTGTAAAAATTCCGATACTGACTGCCGACTGGGTCAGTGGTCTCATCATAGGTGCCTGTAGGCGCCGTGAATTGCAAATTGGGACCAAGGTCAAAGGAACTTGTGACGTTGGCTGTTTTTCCTGTCTTTCTGGTCAACAAGCCAAACTTCAGGGCAATGTCCAAGTTGACGTAAAATTCCACGATGTTGGTCTGGTTCCTGTCAATCAAATCCTTTTGGGCTATCCCATGAATGATCAAGGCATCCTCTTTCCAAGTCAGTCGGGGCATTGCGTTTCTTTTGATGCTCACGATAGGTTTGGAATCGCGATCATTGATCATCACCTTATTTTGATTTTTCACCAGTTGTTTCATGGTCCAGTTATGCACTTCTTGACTCACGCGTTTCCAAAAATCAGTCCCTGTAGCCACGATTTGATTCATATTCATGATATCTTCTAATTCGATTTGGCCATTGAGTATTGGCCATTCTACACGCAGATACCCTGAGGTGGATGGGTTGCCTGTGTCTGTCCATTTACGAATGATTTGTGAATATTTGAATCGAACCACTTTGGTATGAGGATCCGCGGCAATGATGGCATTGCTCTGCCCTTGATCCGGGACCGTCAGCGACATCAATGAGGCATGCCACCCCTCGCCTGGTAGGGAGAGTCGTTCGGGCAGTCGCACCTTGAAACTGTTGTTGGCATTGTTGGGAAACTCGTTGGTCGGATCGCTGACCAGCGTCAGGCGTTTAATCTCACCCATGATGAAGAATGGTCCCAGTCAAGCAGCGCAGGGTCTTTTTATAGCCACTGGTCTACTTTCTGTTTGCTGCGAGGAACGCGTCCCACCAACGAATTGAAGGTCGATTGTTTGGGATGAAAACACACTTGCTGGGCAATGTTGGGAAAGGCCCGGGCCAATTCCATCAGGGTCATGCAAGTCTTGGGTTTGAGGGGTTTCCTCTGGCGCATGGGTGGATGACGACCCGCGCGTCGGCGTTGTTTTTTTGTCTTGGGTGTGGACCGCAAGGCCCCTCGTTTCTTGGCATACTCTTCGGCTCGATGGTAGGCATTGGCGTACGCCCATTGCTGTTTGGTCGGACTGGCCAACTTTGCCCACCACGGCTGGGTTTGCCGTTGTTCGGCCGCTTTCTTCTGAATGAATTTCAGCACGTCGGCGTCACTGGTGGGAGAGGGGGTGTAACTGGCCCGCGGTCGGCTGGAGTCCGCCTGGACCTCATCGAGAAACCGCACCCGTTTTTTTCTTTTTCGAGGCGTTATTTTGACGCGGACCATGTTGCGCGGGAATCCAACTATCGTACTTGGCAGGCCACCCTTTCCACCGGACCAACACCTGGCGTCCTTGGCATTTCAAGACTTTTTCGACCTGAAATAATGAATCGTCCGACACTTGCAATTTTTGAACATCGGGTTCGTAAAACGTGCCTTTTATAGGCGTGCCGTCCCATTCACTGAGTCGATAAGTGACGATTGGATGACGATGGACGTGCGTGACCACAAACACTTCTTCCGTCCACCCAGGCAAATACCCTTTTTTAAAGGTACGATGTTTCTTATTGAGACGCACCCGATCCCCTACTCGACATTTGGGCGGTGGGGTCGTTTGGTCCAATCGCGAGCCGTAGAGT